CGTAGAGGTGAGACGAGAGTGACTGTCTGCCTTTCCCCAGGCCACCCGTGACCTTGCCCAGTACGATGCAGCCCATCATGAAGAGTTCAAACGCTACGAGATGCTCAAGGAACATGAGAGACGCCGTTACCTGGAGTCGCTGGGAGAGGAGCAGAGAAAGGAGGCAGAGAGGAAGCTGGAAGAGCAACAGCGACGGCACCGAGAGCACCCCAAAGTCAATGTGCCTGTAGGGACCATCATTCGTACCCACCTTCCCCGTTCCCCCCCACCCCCCTATGTCTAATTCCCTAAGTTCCATAAAGCAAGAATGTAGCTGAAAAACTACAACTCCCAGCAGACCCCGAGGCAAGAGTCCCTTTTAATGTACCTACCTCTTCCCAGGGGCTTCTGGGAGTTGTAGTTTTCTTGCTTGAGGGGAATGACTGAGAGATGGGAGCATAAAGCGTTCTCTAGCTTTATCCCATAGGACCTAGACTTCTTACTCATGAGCCCCTCACTCTTACCTCCACAGGGCAGCCAAGCCCAGTTGAAGGAGGTGTGGGAGGAGCTGGATGGATTGGACCCCAACAGGTTTAACCCCAAGACCTTCTTCATACTGCATGGTAAGGTGGGGAGGGTGTCCTAAGACCCAGGCTGAATTCTGAGGCTCTGACCTTTGGAAATGAGGACCACAGGATTAAGAGCCTAGAATGACAATTTTTGGTAGCCTGGTCGGGGAAGGTTTTCTAGACCAGCATTGTCTAGTAGAACCTTCCACACCAATGGAAATACTCTATGTTCAAATGGTCTTTGTACAGCAGCCACCAGCCCCACGTGACCATGCAGCACTTGAAATGTGGCTCTTACAACGAAGGAATTGTGTCCTTAGAGTCGGTAAATTTTTTAAGACTTGTGAGCCTGGTAAAATACACGTAACATAAAATTTCCCTTCTCAGCTATCTTTAAGTGTCCAGTTCAGTATGTTAACTACATTCCCATTGCTGTGTAACTGGTCCTTGTGAAACCGAAACTCGAATCAACCGGAGGCCCGGTGCACGGATTTGTGCACCGTTGGGGCCCTCGGCCTGGCCTGTGGGGATCGGGCCGAAACTGGCAGTCCAACATCCCCCGAGGGGTCCCAGAGTGCGAGAGGGCACTCTGCAAAGTTGCTGTTGCTCAGCAGCTCCTGCATTGAGCTTATGCCCCCTGGTGGTCAGTGCGTGTCATAGCTACTGACCGGTCACTTAGCCTTTTATATATATAGACTAGAGGCCCGGTGCATGAAATTCGTGCACTGGGGGGAGGGAGCGGGGCACGCTGGCATGGTGCCCTTGGGGATGTCTGACTGATGGTTTAGGCCCGTTCCCCGCAGCAGTTGAACATCCTTAGCGCTGCTGTGGAGGCGGGAGAGGTTCCCGCCACCGCTGCTGCACTTGCCAGCCATGAGCCCAGCTTCTGGCTGAGTGGCACTCCCCATGGGAGCGCATTGACCACCAGGGGGCAGCTCCTGCGTTGAGCATCTGCCCTCTGGTGGTCAGTGCACATCACAGCAGCCGGTCGTTCTGCCGTTTGGTCAATTTGCATATTAGCCTTTTATTATATAGGATAACTTCCCATTACCCCTCCCCCCAGCTTCCGGTACCTTCTATTCTTATTTCTGTCTCTGTGAATTTGACCTCAAATAAGTAAAATCACACAGTATTTGTCTTTTTGTGACATAATGTTGAGGAAATGAGATTTTAATTAGATGGTTATTGATTGGAATTAATTTGCCCCATGTGGCTAGTGACTGCTGTGTTGGACCGCACAGTTCTAGAGAGTTGAGATTTGAACAAAGACCTCAGTGATTGAGGGGCTGCGGCTTGCAGAGATTTGCGGGAAGAGCATTGTAGGTGGAGGGAACAGCAAGCACAAGAAGAGTGAGCTTGGTCCATCTAAGGTCACAGCCAGGATAAGAAATTTGGACTTTGTTGTGTCATGTGACGCCACAAAAAGGCTTTGAGCAGCGGACTGACACCCTCTGCCTTAAAGGTTGGCAGACTCCATCTGGCTGCCGTGTCAAGGACAGACTGTAGGTGTGAGGGCCAAAGCCAGGAGCCTAGTTAGAGAGCACGAGGTGCTGGTGGCTGGACCACCGGAAGGAAGAGTGACCAGTTCCTGGACTCATCTTGCAGGTCAAGCTAGTACGACTTGCAGATGGACCGGATTAGAGTTATGAAGGAATAAAAGGGTCAAGGGTGACTGCAAGGTATTTGGCCTGAGAAACTGGAAAAACTGAATGGAAAGAGCAAGCATGTTTGGCAGGGCAAATTGGGAACGGGGTTTCCGTTACATTAGAGACGGCTGGTAGACATGTGCATGGAGATGAAGAGTAGACAGTTGGATATTCTGGTGTGGAGGCCGCTTGTGGATGGCATCGAAAGCTGAGGGACTGGAGGAAACATCTAAGAAAGTGCCGGCCAGGAGCACTCGCTTTGTGCCCTGGCCGTTGTGGCTCAGTTGGTTAGGGGTCATCCTGCGCATCAAAAGGTTGCCAGTTCCATTCCCCAGTCAGTGCACATGCCCGTGTTGTGGGCTCAGTCCCCAGTAGGCAGCTGATCAATGTCTCGCTCTCACATTGATGTTTCTCTCCCTCTCCCTTCCTCTCTCTAAAAATCAATAAATTTTAAAAAAAAATAGCACTCTCTTTGTAATGATGGAAAGCCACATATGGCTAATCAGCATTTGACTTGTGGCAAGTAGGCTGATAAGCTGAATTTTTTTTCAATTTTTATTTATTGAATTAAGAAAGAGAGAAATGCTGATTTGTTGTTCCACATATTTATGCATTCAATGGTTTCTTGTATGTGCCCTACCCAGGGATCAAACCCGCAACCTTGGTGTATCAGGATGACGCTCTCACCAACTGAGCAACCCGGCCAGGGCAATAAACTGAAATTTTTATCTTATTTAATATTAATCTATTTAAACTTAACAGCCCATGTGGCTAGCGGCTCCCTTATTGAACAGATCTGAACACTAGACAGAGACGAGGCCCCGGGCCTGAGCCCGTGGATGTACCAAGGTGTAGAAGTCAGGAGGACGAGGAAGCCAGCAAGGGAGAGAGGGGGAGCGGGAGAGGAGAGAATGATGTTCTGGAAACCACAAGCAGAGTCAAGTTAGACGTGAACTAAAAATTAACCACTGGCCGAAACCGGTTTGGCTCAGTGAATAGAGCGTCGGCCTGCGGACTGAAAAGTCCCAGGTTCGATTCCGGTCAAGGGCATGTACCTGGGTTGCAGGCACATCCCCAGTAGGAGGTGTGCAGGAGGCAGCTGATCGATGTTTCTCTCCTATCGATGTTTCTGACTCTCTATCTCTCTCCCTTCCTCTCTGTAAAAAATCAATAAAATATATTTTAAAAAAAAATTAACCACTGGTTTTTCAGTGGTTAATTGGAAACCCCATTCCCAATTTGCCCTGCCATAGCCCATGCGCTGTATGAGCGGGATTGGCAGGGACGACTAAAAATTAACCACTGGTTTTTCAGGGTCAGGGGTTCCGGCCACCTCAGCAGGATGAGGGCAGGTGCTGACCTGAGTGAGCAGAGGAGGTGGAGCAGTGAGCATAGCCCATGCGCTGTATGAGCGGGATTGGCAGGGACCGGCTCTTCTGGCACCTGGAGTTGGCCCTGGCCTGGCTCTCTGGGAGGCAGAGGCCCCCGAAACCCCAGGATCCTGTGCACAGAGGGGTTGATCCTGGCCCATGTCACACCAGGTGCTAGGGATCAAGGCATCCTGCATGACAGCGGTCCCAAGAACGGTCCCACCTTCATCTACTCCATTCTTGGGACCCTGGTTAGAAGGGAATGGACTGTCCTAGCAGCAGGCCTGGGGGGCACTAATGCTGGAGGCCACCATTCTACCATTGGAGACTTGTTACCTGTCCTCTAAATAAAACAGATCCCGTATCAGCCCAGATTCCTCCTCCAGCTGGTCCCTCGGGGACCTGACCCACCCCATCCTCAGTCCCCTAAGATATGTCGTCTCCCCTCAGATATCAACAGTGATGGGGTCCTGGATGAGCAGGAGCTGGAGGCCCTCTTCACCAAGGAGGTGAGTGCCCGGGAAGCCCTGGCTGCCGGGGATGCCCGGATCAGCCACCTGGTCCTTCCTTAGCGCCCCCGGAGGTAAGTTCAGGGAAAACTACAACTCCCAGCAGCCCCAGGGGCAAAGAGTAAAAAAAAAAAGGCTGCCAAGAATGTCAGGGTGCCCCAAGGGCTAATGGGCGTCAGCTGGGGTGGGGAGGTGGCGTGGCTTGGGAAAGAGGTTACCCCGGACCTCAACCTGTCCCGCCTCCCGCTGGCCTCTGCAGCTGGAGAAGGTGTATGACCCGAAGAATGAGGAGGATGACATGCGGGAGATGGAGGAGGAGCGGCTGCGCATGCGGGAGCACGTGATGAAGAATGTGAGGAGGGACCAGGCCCTGGAGG